CGTCCTTATCTCCCCTTCTTCTTTTTTTTATGTTTGTTACTCTCTTGTAACACCTCTAATCTTCTGGCGCTCATTTGACCTTATGCAGTTGGGAGCGCCGTAAAACCTCTACTAAAACTAAAACTGTCCCTGTCATCGCTGTATGAGTTGCTACTCTTTGTTCTTTTGCCTCAACTGTTTTCCTTGTACTGATATGTGAGAGGCAGGGTAGGTGGAAGATTGGCCTTGTTTTGTTCGTATAGAATTTTTTTAAAGCATTATCAAGGAGCTTTGTCCTTTCTTTCACCTTAAAAATTTTTTTAGTTGTGGGCAACCTCTTCCCATACACTGTCAGTTGTGGCATTGAAAGCACCTGCTGTTGCTGGTTTAGTATGATGTTATTTATTTGATGTTTGTTTTTGATGAAAACTTTGTGTTTTTCGTAAATATTGATGACTTAAGTTTTCCTGTGATTGCACGAGGGTTTTAGGAGGGTGCGAAAGCTAGCCCCCTACTTTTTCTGTCCGTTCTTCTATTGTTTCTGACTCATCGTCTTAATTTTTTTCTATACAAAATGACAGTTTTTGTGGGTGGTTGGCAGGTGTGCTGCTGTGGTTTGCTCATAAAAAATCTATTTCCCTTTTCTCTCCTCCTTTTTTTTTTAGTGTTTGTTACTCTCTTGTAACACATCTACATCTTCAGCACTTAAAATGACCTAATGTGTTGCAACTACCATCTAATAAAAACTGTAAAACTTAAAGAAAAGAAATGAGAGTTATTGGGCTGATATTTCTCTATTTACTCAAACACTCAAACAAACGTCTGGTTGTTGCTTTGTACAGGTTTCTACATACAGGAAGATCATGGACAGGAAGCACCAGCTCAAGTCGACAAAGGTGGGTACTTTCTCGCGGCATATCTTGTTTTTTCACTTTCTGCATTCTTCAGAGAAATGTCTTGGGGTGGTTGGATGACGCCACTGTGGGTGGTTGGCGGGTGCTCTGGTATGGTTTGCTTCTTCTTTCCTATCAAACACCTATCGTCCTTATCTCCCCCTCCTTCTTTTTGATGTTTGTTACTCTCTTGTAACACCTCTCTAATCTTCTGGCGCTCGTATGACCTTGTGCAGTTGCGAGCGGCGTCAAGCCTCTACTAGAAAAAACTAGGACGCCACTGGTGGGTCCTACTTCTTTTTCTGTCCCTCCGTTTGTGTGTTGCTTCTCCCCTGCACTATATGACTATTGTTGTGTTGATGTGCTCTTCTTTACACAAACTCAAACTCAGAATGTCTCTTTGGTGCGCTGGTGGGGTTTTCTACTTCTGCCTCTATTCCGTGTCGCCTGTTCTCTCTCTCTCTCTTTTCCCCCTCCCCCCTCCCCACTCCCTTTTGGTTGGATGTTGGATATAAATGTCAGCTTCACTCGCACTGCCGCAGTGAATAGTTGGTTAGTACTCTGGTGTGCCTCTCTCTCTCCCTCTCCCTCCCTCTCTCTCCCTCCCCTCTCTCTCTCTCTCTCTCTCTCTCTCTCTCTCTCTCTCTCTCTCCCTCTCTCTCCCTCTCTCTCCCTCTCTCTCTCCCTCTCTCTCTCTCTCTCTCTCTCCCTCCCTCCTCTCTCTCTCCCTCCCTCCCTCTCTCTCTCTCTCTCTCTCTCTCTCTCTCTCTCTCTCTCTGAGTACATATTTACTTACTTAAAAGTACAACAATAAAACAGCTGTAAGGAACAAATCAATTTGATCCAATTCCCAACTATCACGTTCCTCCTCCCCCCCCTCAGAACGGCTTTGTGGATCACCCTCCTCTCTCCGCGGTGACCGCGACGACGAAATCTCCCAAAGAGGAGGAGCAGAAGCTGCTGGCCAACGTGGACCGGTTGAGCACCGAGCTACAGAACCTCCAGGACGTCAACAAAGCCTACGTTTCCAAATACGGGGCCAACTCGTTCAGGCCCGGGCCGGGCGGGAATAACGTCTACACGAGCCGCGACGTCACGGGCGCCGCAGCCGCCTCCGGGCACGGGAACCACGAGATGTCCGGCGGTGGTCAGTGGCCAGTCGGCAGCAGCAAGGGCATGGCGGATCTGAAGGAGAAGTTGGAGATGAAGAGGAATTACGATTCTCTGGGAGAGGTGTTGTCCACTCTGAAAAAGGAGGTCAGTATGGCCTTTCAGAGTTCTGAGCCGCCGCCGCCTCAGCCACAGTCGTCTGTGTCGAAGCAGAGTGGTGTCTCGGCCGAGTCTGTGCCGGCTGGAGGGTTGCCAGGCGCCTGTTTGCCCGGTGCAGTTCGTGGGCAGGAGGCTCCGAGTCTCTCCCACGCCAGCAGGGAGTTGTCGGCGACCTTGAGGCACGGTGTCTCTGCCCCCGGCGAATCCTTCAAAGCCCCGGATATGACTGTAAGAGACATCCTTACGAAAGGACGGTGGCCGATATCGTCGCCGTCGGTGTCACTCGCGTCATTATCGTCTTCATCATCATCATCATCTTCGTCTTCATCACTGTTGTCGTCGCCATTGTCTACGTCCTCGTCCGCGTCCTCCTCCATCACCTCCCTCCTCACCTCCCCCTCCTCGTGGACCACGGAAGTGAGGAAAGACCAGACTGTCTCTGTCTCCTCCCCCCGCATCCTCCCTCTGGGAACCAAGATAGATATAAAACGGCCCCCGAGACAGAATGGCTTAAAACAAGGCCTGGCCTCTAGACGCGCACAGTCTAAGAATATCACCGTTCTGCAGAACTCCCGGGCTCTTCCTCCCTCCGGTTCCCAGAATAAACTAAACGCATCTCATGGGTACACTGACCATGAGAAGTCGGCAGCAGAAGATCTCATCTCCCTCAAGGAAGGTCTGAGTGGGGCGGGAGCAGGAGGGGGGGTGTCGCCCCCTACCTCAGCCACCGCCCACTCGGCCTCAGTCTCCGTGCCATCCGCCACGCCCATGTCCTTGTCTGTCGGGCCCGCGGGAAGATCCTCCGTGAAAGCGCATTCCCATTGTGATGACCGGCCAGCTATTCTGGTCCATACCTCCAAAGCTCGTCGAGGCAGCAGCAACAACAGCAACAGCAGCAGCAGCAATATCACCACCACCACCACCACCACAACCACCACCATCATCTCTCCCTCCAACACCACCCTAACCTATGGCAGCAACAACAACAACAACAACAGCAGCAGCAGCAGAAGTAAAGCAACAGTGAACTCAGGTGCAATACTTTCCTCCCCGTCCTCCTCCTCCATCTTGGGACCCGTCTCTTCCGTGACTCCGCTAGGACCATCCTCCCAGCACCTGGGAAGCCTAGCGCGCAGCCTCCTGGCCAAGGACGTGCACCACGTCTCGGGGAGGTCTCACCGTGATGCCGAGACGACGCCCGCCTCCTCCTCCTCCTCGCTGAAGATTGTCTCCACTTTGCAGCCCAACGGTGTGCTGAAGCACAAAAGTTCGGAGCTTTCCTCCGCCTCCCAGCCGCCCAGCAAAGTGCGGCACATCGAGAGCAGGCCGGATCTAAGGTCTGTGCTGTCCACGGGGGCCGTGCCCACGTCCTCGTTGGCCTCTTCCCTGTCGGCGGCCACCATCAACTTACTGACACATCAGCAGCAGCAGCAGGTTCTCTTAGCTCAGGGTTCGAACCTCATCCTGACCCCAGGACACGAGTCGGCGGCACACTTGATGACCGGCCAGGGGGCGGCTCTGTCGGTTCACGGCAACAACCACACTGCAGCAGCGGGGGTCCAGGTGGGCGGGGCTAGTGCTAAAGGCTCCTCCTCCTCCTCCTATCCCACAATTCCCTCCTCCAACAGCGTGTCAGTGGGCAGCATGCCCAACGGGACACACACCTCGCTGCTCAAACTCCTGTCCCAGCAGTCTCCCGGGCCCGGCTCCGTGCTCGTCTCGCAGAAACCCCCTGAGGGGACGGTGGTCTCCATGGCAACGGTGAACAGCTCGGGAGTAGGAGGCCTGTCGGGAGCCGGATTGGGCCCGACCTTCACCTTGCCACAAGATTCGGGGGCTCTCAACGGGGCTCTGGCGAAAGGCCAACTCAAGATCTTGCCGCAGAGTCGTGTGGACAGCAAAGGTAAAACTGCTTTCTCTTTCCCACTTTTTGTTTTTCGTTTTGTTTTGTTTTTCTACAGTTTTTGTTAGTACACTGGAGTCTGCTTGTTTCAGATTTGTACATGAAAGAAAGTATACCTAATCACTTGTTATTTCTTTGGAAATTTTTTTACTGTACCCTTTTTTTACCTCTTTTTATATGGACTAAAAGGATATATTCGTTTTTCCACTGGTTCAGTCTGCAAGGAAATTTGTCACGGATGTATGGTCCTGTAAATTGTATTTATGCAGTAAATAATAATAATGAAAATCATTTCTATAGCGCCCACTCCCGTGTAAACGCAGCTCTAGGCGCTTTGCATAAATGCATGTACGAACAATATTCGCGCACGCGGCGCACACACACACTCATACACACACTCACACACACAGACATCTACTTGCTTTTCACACACGCACGCTTACACATCGTTATGAAATGAGCACGTACACATATATAATAAAATAATATACACAATGCAATTCGCAAAATACATAAATGGATATATAGTCATTTACATATAACATTGTACTGAATATGAATCTACTGACAGTATAGCTCTACTTGTTTTCATAGAATGTAGAAATGCAGCTATGCTCAGCTCCCGCTAAATATTACGCTGACTTTCCTAAAAAGTTGTGTACGACTGACGGATGAAAGTGGTCCAGGAACACATGATGTGTTGAAGGTTTGGTTTTGTGGAAGCTTCTTAACCCCTTCACTGCCGGCTATGAGCTACATAGCTGTGCCGGGGAAAATTGCTCCAATTACTGCAAGCATCACATAAAGCCCCTAACTCAGAAACTCAATTGAAATCATTATCATCACTGTTACAGTCATTCATAATTTCGTCTAGAACTTCTGCAGCTAAAAAGGAAGGTCGATAGACTGGTCTGTTGGATGTCATTGCGGAAAGCAACCCCCCCAAAAAAAACTCCCCCCCACATCTCTGAACATCAACACTTCACTTCTTCAAGACAATGAAAATGACGCTCAGATTCACGGGAGACTACTGTAATATCAATGAAGAGAGTACATAACAAGATGGGCCACTCAGCCAAAAAAGTGTTCGCTCTTTGCTTCAGATGGCGCTGCAGTCTGTTTTGAAGCTCTCTTTTGTTTTTTCAGAAGAAGAATAGGAATAGCACCTCCTTGTGTGCGCATCATCAGCAGTTCGGGTTCGTTCAGTACGGAGTTACAGTTTTTTAAAATTTAATGACCTCTAGCCTTTCATTCTAAAGTCAAATTAAACGAAGAAAACAATCACCCTTTCCTCTGGAAGAGGTTTTTTGTCAGCGTAACCATTTTAAAAAAGCGTTCTTCCGAAATTCATTCAAAAACTTGCTAGTTTCACTTTGATTTTTTAAACTCAAGTAGGAGAACTTTGTTCGCAAAAGGTGTGCTTTTGCGAAGAGGGCGCCACCGAATTTTGAGGACACTTTTTTAATTAGCTCAAAGAGAGAAGTGGCCCATCTTGTTATGTAGATTCTTTGATATCAAAGAGGATTACTCGTGACACAGTTTTGCCCCTTTAAAAGGTGGAAAATTACACCAAAAAATGACTTCATCATAGGCCGGCTGAATCAGCGGGCACATGGCACAGGGAAGCACTTCTTGGCCCGCTGATTGGCAGTGAAGGGGTTAATAACTTGCTTCTGGTAGAGGGAGCAGCTGGGGTTAACTGACAGGCTTGATGTAGAGACACAGGTAGATCTATTGAAAGGGAAGGGGACAGGGCGCTTCAAAAGGGATTTTGAAGGGGGAGGGGTGTTATGTACATTCATATCTGTATGTTTAAGCTGCTGGTGATTGCCATGGAAACAAAGAGGGGTGTTTTGTCACATTCTTCAAGTCAAGTTCTTCACATATCAAGACAAAACTATTACATGCATGTAATAGCTTTTATTTTAATGAAAGTGAAACTTATTTCCAAGAATTATACTACTAAACCTTGGAAAGGGGGGGGGAGGGGGTGTCTTGCAGCAAGTCTGACTGATTCTGTTGATCGTCTGTTCTAGTGGGCAATGGGCAGCCACAGGACTAGACCAGTGTGTAGCCAAGGAGAAAGAGTTATAAAATAAAGAAAAGTCTGCGTGTCTGTTCCTCAGCTAGTGTTTGAAGCAGACTCCACTGTATTTGTTTTGTTTATTTTATTTTTTTTTTCTTCATTTTTGGCCTGTCTTAGGCCTTTCTGACTGACATGATTGAAGGCTACTTTTATGTATTTTGTCTTTGTCTTCTTTTAGTATGGAAGTGGAAGGATAGAGCATTTTTTTTAGTGATATTGACTAAAAACAGATGGAGCATTTTCTTCCAATTCGTTTTAATGCCTCGGGTCAGCTTCTTTCATTCCGTCCTTTTCTGTCTCTCTTTCTGTCTTCCTCCCCCCCCTTACTCTCCCGTCTCATTTTCTCTGCTATTCTGTTCTGTTGTTTTGTGTGATGGTTCTCCAGCCATCTTTTTGAAAATTTCCAAATGTGGTGAGAGACAGCTGTGGAGCCAGTCGGAGGACAGTGTTACTTCATGATGATGTCAGCGCATTGTTTTGTTTTGTAGACGCCCACACCATCAAACTTGTAGCAAATACGCCGGGATAGCAGGTTCCCCCTCCCCCTGACTGCTTCCCCCTTCCTCTCTCTCCTCCCTCTCCCCCCCCCCCTTCTCTCACCTCCTCCCTCTGTCCTCTTTCCTCTTTCCTCCTCCCTCTCACCTCCTCCCTCTGTCCTCCTTCCTCTTTTCTCCTCCCTCTCACCTCCTTCCCCCTCTCTCTCCTCCTCCCTCTCCCCCCCCCCCCCTCTCTCCCCTCCTCCCCCCTCTCACCTCTTCCCTCTCTCCCCCTTCCCCTCTCTCTCCCCTTTGTCTCCTCCTCCCTCTCTCCTCCCCCACCTTCCTCTCTCCCCCTGTCTCGTGCATTCTCTCAGGATGTCATGGGGCTCGCTGTGTTGATGGAGCTCTCAGAACACTGCTCACTTTTTGCTGAACACGAGAAAACATCTCATTTTGGACTATCGAGACCTTGAATTAAACAAAAATTGTCCATTTAGGAGTCGGAAACAAGTTCCTGCTGCAGTGAGAAACTAATTCTGTGACTTTTTTCTGCTGTTGTTATGGGGGTATATAATAAGAGGAGAAAGATTGTAGAAGGGCTGCACTTCAATAGCATCACTGCAAAATGCGATGTATTCATTTACTGTAATCGGTGATGATGATTCAAGTCTGTAAGAAGATTTCCTGTTTGTGCCGTTTCGTTATGAATAGGAGATGAGTTAAGTTATGAATAGGAGATGAATTTAGTTATGAATAGGAGATGAAATATTCACATCTGTGTGTGAATTGTTTCTCAGTACTGTAGCTGTAACTGCTGGAAACTCTTATCAGGTTTTATGTTACAATTTGAAGAAATAAACCCCTCCCAGTTACTGAACGCTAGCAAAGTTGCAAAGTTTTGATATAATTATAAGTTGATGGAAAAAAGAGTAGAGATGAGAGGGATGGCTGGAAGGAATGTTAAAACGGTGTGCAATATATCCGAGTGTGTTACTATTTATATCATTACGTAGCGGTTGGCTAGTAGTACGTACTTAAATAGCTGGCAGGAGAAAGTAAAAAAAAAAAAGCCGCTCCCCTCTACTCATGAGGTACATGATCGTCGTGTGGGTGAGCACTTTTGTCACCTTGGCTTGTACTACAGCATTTGTCTTACCCAGGTCTTGCATTTTATTATATCTATTTATATATGACCTACTTTATTGTGAAATTAACCTCTTCCAGTCATTAACAATGTGATGTGATTTTGAACACCTGAAGGTTTAGGAGAAGTGAATAGGAATAGAAGTGTGGCAGCAGACGTTTATATATATAATTGTCCCCTCCTTCTGTTCGTAGGAGTTAAAAAGACCCAAAAAAATGTAAAATATTTAAAAAAGTATATGAGGACATCAGTGCAGAGTATTTCCATGTAGGGCCCTCCCCTCTCCTCCCTTTTATTTTGCCCAAGTATGTTTGATGACATTTTTCTGTAAAGTTTGGGGGATGTGAAGCTTAAGCCAAAGATTTGCCAACATGAAGTGGGCCCACGGCGAGCAGTAATGGAAGCTGTTTCTTCTCTCCTCTCCCTCTCTTCAGGTTGTTTGAAAACATCACAGGCTTGCTCTCCTCTTGCCCACTCTGACTTTGATGCTCTAGTCGCTGTCGCTTCGTCGGAACACACTTTTAAAGACGGCCCTTTAGGCACAGAGCCACCGGGCGGCCTTGATGTAGGTCGTGAAGCGGGAGCCAAGCAGGCAGCCCCGAAGGGTGGCAGGAGGGCCGGTGTGTCGCGATCGGCCAGGGGGGAAAGGGCGCATGCTCGCTCGTTGAAGAAACGGGCCCCCGCAGAGTCGGGGGAGTTTGACTCAAAGAAAAGCAAAGTGGAAGTGGAGAAGGATTTGTTGAGGAGCAAGAAACACGTGGCCGTGTGTGAGAAACTTTCCTCGGGATCAGAGTCGAATTGTAAGTCAAATGCTGTTGGGGGGAGTGATGAGGAAGAGAACAGGAAAAGTTTGCAGAAAAACGTGGCTGTGCTACTGAGCAGAGAGCTGAAGGTGGACAAACTGGCAAGTGTGGCCGAGCAGTCGTCTGACGACTCGGAGTCTGCGACAGAGAGTACCTCGAGGCCCTCGTCTGTCATGGCCGAGAGTGAGGAGAAGGTGAAGGTGAAGACCACCAGGAAAAGACTGACTCCCAGAGCCCGACGCATGCGGCGTCGAAGGTCAGCCACCTTGAAGCAGTTGGCCCACCACCGGAGTGAAGTCAAGGACAGTGGAGACTCTTTGTCGGAGAACGAGCCTCTCTCCGACACGGCTCAGGGACAAGATAAGGACTCAAGTCGGGGAAATCTGGCAACCGGCCGGACCAATAAACAGTCTGTAGTAGTCAGTAGTGCATCCCTTGAGGCAGAGATAGAATCGAAAGTAGATGACATTAAAAAGCTTCACATAGATTCTCCTCGGGAAGGAAAGTCCAATCTATCAAGCCATGTTTCTGCAGACATTCAGATTGTATCGAAAAAGATGGAAGAGCAAAGCACCCTTCAGAGCATGAGACATGAGAAAAGGAATAAACAGACGTCAGGTACAGATCGAGAGAGGCCGTCTCGTAAAGATAAACATTATCGTAGTAGACAGGGCCAGCCTAGTGTAGCCAAAACTGAGGCTTTAGACAGGAAGAAAACGGGACTGAAGGCTGGAGAGAGTAGCCAGTCCCCCAAGCCAGATAGAAAATCTGTTTCTCCAAATCCTGACAAAAAATCTTTGTCCCCGGCTCCCAAGACAGAGCAGAGTGAAGGGAAAGAAGAAAAGAAAGTGGTGAAGGTGGAGAGCGAGGAGAACAGAGCACGCCACAAGTTACACGACTTGAAGTCCGCTCGATCGAAGCACAAAAAAGAAACGGGTGAGAAACGAAAATCCTCCTCTCTGTCTCCCAAACCACAGGGGCCATCACAAAAAAGAGTGCCGGAAAGGAAGTCATTGTCTCCAACGCCAACCATTTCTAAAAGCGAAAAAGCGCAAGAGGTGAAAGTGGCGCCCCCTGTCTGCTCTCCGGCGAAACAGAAGGACCCGGGCACAAAGCCATCTTCTCAAAAGTCTGGGAGAGAGCCTGTTTCTGATACTTCACATTCCCGAGAAACCATGAAAAAGAGTAAGTCGACAAGCAAGCCTCTAGGTTCTGGGCGCGAGCTGGATTCCCCCAAGCCTGAGAGGGAAGCTAAGAATTCCAAGGCGGAGGAGAAGCGGGGGTCATCAAAATCTGACCGGAGACATTCTTCGTCGCCGTCGCCGCGAGGTCACGGCAGCAGCTCTGGTTCCCGTGGTGGGAAACACTCGTCAAAGTCCACAGAAAAATCAGCCGCCAGGAGCTCTGAAAGCAAATCTGTGTCCCCGAAACCCAGTTCCGCTCACGGTTCTTCGTCTAGGGGGTGTGAGCCTCTGAGTAAAAAGTCCAAAGTGAAAGGAGAAGTTGACCGCGTTGTGTCACGGCAAGCGGCAAAAAGTAGCCGACAGTCGTCCTCGTCGAGCTCGCAGGGTGTAGGAGGTGAAAAGGGCAGGGGCAGGTCACCGAGTCCTCCCAAGCTGGAGCGTGCGGTGCCCTCCCCCCATGACCAAAAGAGGAAAGATGGAAAACTGAAGCCCTATGAAGGTACAGAAAGAAGTACCTCGGGTCAGAACAAAAATAACACCAGTAAAACCGACAAAAGGGTGAGTGTTTCTAAAAGTGAGCTGGGGGCCGACAGGACGAAGGTCAAGTCTGAGCAGGAAGCGGCAGCGTCGGCTAAGGTGAGCCGAGACGTCGCCGGTGAGGCTGATAAGAAAGCGGGTGGTCATTCGGATCATCTGAAGGACGCCCGACACTCGCGGTCTCTGAAGCCGGAGGTAAAAGTCTCCTCTTCCAAGTCTGGGAGTGGCTCGTGTTCTCCTTCCTCAAAGAACAAACCGTCGTCGCAGGCGGCCAAGCACAAGTCCGGAGGTTCTAAATGTAAAGACCATTCCCCGTCGCCCAGCGGCCGGAAGGATTCCCCGGGGAATAGCAAAGATAAGAGGAAACTTTTGAAGCAGACGACCTCAGCTGTGAAGGTCGAAAAGTCAGACTCGGGATACTCAGGGTCCTCTGGCTCCAAAGGTCAAAGGTCAGGGAATTCAGGTGTTGGCAGCGCGCCGAAAGATACAGGTTGTGAGATGAAGGCGAAGGGTGTGTCTGAGAGAGGGAAGAAGACAAGAGGTGTGGCCCCTACTTCTGGGGGAGCGTGTAAAGTGGAGGAGGGTGGCGGCGCGGAGTTTGAGGAGGAGGAGGTGGAGACAGCACGTGGGGGCGTTGACCGATCGGTCCACGGAGGAGACGCTGGTTCTCCGAGTGACTGCAGCCAGAGCGTGGAGGACATGAAGGTGGAGGCTGGCCGTTTGTCTCCCCATCTGGCCTGTGTGGACAGTCCGGACGGAATGCTCACCCCCAACTCGGCCTCCCAGCACTGCCACTACGCCGACTACGACACGGACAACGCGGAGATGTTGACCCCGGCGTCCATTGACGAGTCCACGCTCTTCAGCAAGGCCAAGCAGGAGGAGATAAGTCTCTCGGACACCGGCGCCCATTTTGAGCTGAAGGAGGAAGTGAGCGGTGAGCTCGCCGCGGGGCCCAGCGATGCCTGTGTTCAGAGGGAGGCAGAGTCCTTCCCGTTTCCCCTGACCCCTCAGAACACGCCTCTGTCTGCGTCGGTGCCGTGCTCCCCACACACATGGACGGACACGGCTCAGGCCGGGGAGGATGTGTCGGGGGACCCCTCCCACCATCAGTTCGATCGCGGTAAATTGGCGGGAATTGATCACGTTTCTCCGGCCGGAAGTCCTAAGAGCTCTGCAGTAGAGCTCCCGAAAGCTGAAATAGAACAAGTCCAGACGGTGGCAGGGGAGGGGAAGAAAGGCCCTCAAACCCCGCCCGGCTCTCCTTTGTTCCGACATCAGAGCAGGTCAAGGTCACGGTCTCGCTCTGCCAGCTCTTCTTCCTCAGGCAGCCGGTCGCGCAGCTCCAGCTGTGGCTCGCGACACTCTAGCAGCTCCACCAGCTGCACATCGGACAGCTCTGACGACAGCAAGCGCCGCCGCCGCCGCAGGAAGTACCGCAGGTCCCACAAGGCAGCGGCCAGACGTACCCCACCCAAAAAGCTCTCGACGCGAAACCCTCCGCTGAGCCTACGGCTGGGGTCACCCACCAAGGCAACAGTACAGTACTCCCCGATGCCCAGCCCCAACATGAACGGGTTCTACGCGGGCCAAGGAAGGCTAACTCTCGGGCCAGCTGCCCCCTCTTCGTTCGGTGGCCACAGCCTTCTGGGCTCTGGTCCCGTGTTGTCCCCCTTGTCTGTTTCCACGCAGCACAGCCCGGGCTACCAGATGGTGACCAGCGACACGATGCGCAGCCCCACCGGTCTGCTTCGTAGCCCCGTGGCTGGCTCGCTCATCCGCCAGTACCCTCACTTCCCCATGAGTAACCCCACGCCCGTCTCTGTCTCCTACCCGGTCTCCGTCTCCTCTGCCGCTCCCTGTTCTCTGCAGCAGCGTCCTCTCGCTTCGAAAAACTCCTTGCTGAGTCTAAATGCGGCAGCGGTGAAACCGAGCGGTGCGGAAAGTACTTTCTCTCAGAACTCTGCTTCTGTCAGAAGCTTGATCCCTGAACCGTTCGGTGTGAAATCACAGCATCCCGGACACTCCTCAGTCGGAGCTGCCAAGTCAAAAGTGGAGCAGTTGTCGTTCTCTTTGGCCTCTGACCTCAAAGACCACAATGCCAATCACACGTCCATGCCGTGCTCGAACCTCGCCTCTAGTCAGACCATAATGAAGCCATCGGGTGGGGGTGGGGGGGAGGGACCGTATGAAAGCCTTCCCACTGTGGCAGACATGAAAGCTGACCCCACCCCCACCGTCCCGTCAGCGCTGTCGGCTCTCGGCTCGTCGGCTCTGAGCTGCTCCGCGACGTTCCCGTTCTCCCAGCCTCCTTTTACCATCATGACACAAACCGCGGCAAGTAGTCGTCGTGGTGACGGTAGCAGCAGCAGCAGCTCTTGTAGTACTAGTATTGCTCTACCGTTGTCGTGTGCGTCCATACCACCAGCTGAGCCGGCCGGGGTGCGAGGTAGTTGTGACGGTGACAGTAAGCAAATTGGCGTTTTCGCCGACAGCGATGGACCAGTTCCCCAGCTTTCAGGTGGTTCCCAGTCCTCGACGACGGAATTGTCGAAGGCCGCGGCTCCTTCTCTGATGGTAGGCCGGAAAGAGCAGGTGCTTCACGGAACGTTCAATAGCCAACTGGAGGCCGGCTGCGATGAGTTGTTCCCGAGGAACAAAGTGAGCTGTGTCCGCGCAGCAGTGTCCTCCAGCTACCCCGCCGAGCAACCGCTCTGCAAGTCTCACATTCCGTCTAGTCACAAGGCAAGCTCCTCCTCTTCCACCTCTGCCCCACCACCTCCC